ATGTGAAAATGGAAATTAATTTTTTTTAACTTAGAGCTTCAGCATTATTGGTCAAAGATAAATTCTACTAACTTAGAGCATGGACATCGGCATGTGCATTTTTTATCTTCTTATTTCTAAACTGCTGAACCAATAAGTGTGTGTGAATGGTTTACTTTTATGTAACTCCCTACGGGTAAGTAACAAGGACATAATTTATGGCTCTTATTAGTGTGACTATAAGGCATACGTGCACGTCATGAATTGTATTATAACATTTCGACTATTTGCTGTTTAGATATTTTTAAATCAAAGGTTAATATTACACATCATCTACATTATAGATAAAAAGCAATACTTGCAGAAGCTCTCTGTATTATTAAATAGTTGTTTTATTTGCCCAGATCATGCTACACAAGGTCAACAATCTAATTTTAATATTTCAGAAACAAAGTCCACAAAACTGATCAAGTCTTCTCAAATCCTCCAAAGTCCCCCTATAGTCCCCCTAAAATGTCCTAAAGTCCACCTAATGGACATTTCAAGTCCTCCTTCATTCCTAAAATCCTTCTTCAGTTTCACGAAGTACTACTCAAGTTCTTTTAAGTTTCTCTAAGGCTCTATAAGTCTCTAAAAGTATTCTTAAGTCGTCTTAATTTCTTTTGAGAGCCCTTAAGTGCTCCAAAGTCCTGTTAAGTCTTCCAAAGATCCTTGAAGTATCTTCATGTTATCCTTAGTACTCACAAGTTCTACAAAATCGCTGTAATTCTTCCAAAGTTAACTTATGTCCCTTAGAATATTCTTGAGTCCCCTAAAGCCTCTTTAAGTCCCTTAAAATCCTTTCAAGTACTGCCAAGTTATCTTAAGTCCCCTTGAATATATTTAAGTCCACTTAAGTGTTCTTAAGTCTCCTACAGTCTCTCAAGTTCTCAAAGTTCCCTTTAGTTCTTTCAAGTGCCGTTAAGTCTCCTGAAGTCCCCTTGAGTTTTATCAAGCCCCCAAAGACGTCTTGAGTCTCCCGCAGTCCCTGTGTAGTCTGTTCAAGGCCCCTATGAGACTTTTCACGTGTTATTGCCTTTGAGTTATCTCAAGTCCATTACAGTTTCCTTATATTGTCTTGTGTTCACCGAAAACTTTTTAAATCTTTCGAAAGATCCTTGAGTCCTCCAAAGTCCCTTTAAGTACTTGAAGACTCCTGAAATTCTCCAAAGTCCCCTTCAGCCGCTCAAAGGCTCCTTGTGTACCCTTATGTCCTCGGAAGTATCCTATTGTGCCCTCAAATTCCAATAAGCTTACTTAAATCCTGTTAAGTCCCCTAAAGCCCCTTTGAGTCCTATTAAGTCTCTTATAGTTTCCTCAATTACCATTAAGTCCTCTGTAGTCTTTAGTCCTTAGTGTTCTGGAGTTACCTCAAGTCTACCATAGTTTCTTTATGTAATCTTAAGTCCCCTTAAAACTCCTTGTATCTTCTGAAGTCTCCTAAATTCTTTTGCAGTTTCCTCAAGTTCTCTTACGTCTTCCAAAATCCTCTCATGTATCCTTAAATCTCCTGAAGTCCTTTTTATTCCTCCTAAGGGCCCCGAAGCGTTCTTACGTAATCTCAAGTCCCCTTAAGAATCCTTGAGTTCCTTAAAAATCCTTTAAGTCTTTCGAAGTCCCTTTAAATCCTCTCAAGTCCCGCAAAGAGTCCGTAAGTTTCTTCAAATTTTTTTGAGTTTTTAAGTCACCTTATTCCCTTTGTGTTTTCTCAAGTCCCTCAAAGTCATTTTATGACCTCTTAAGTGTCCTTAAGACTCCTTACATCTTTCGAAATGCCCTCAAGCCCCCTTAAGTCCCGTTCTTTGAACGATTATGTATTCTGAAATGACCATAAGTCCTCTTAAGCCCCCTTTAATCTCTTTAAGTCCCTGTAAGTCCCTTTCAGTGCCCTTAAGTCTTGTAAAGTCTCCTTAAGTCCCTTTTAAGTTTCCTTCAATCCTCCAAACTTACCTTAAAATGTTTTAAGTTCTCTTTATACCCCTCGATTTCTCTCAAGTCGCCTATGACTCCTTTTAAGCTCAATTGACTTCTCTAAAGTCTCCTCGAGTCATCTCAGAGCAAGTAAGTCTCAAAAAGTCTCAAATAAGTTGTAATGAAGAAAAAAGAACTTTAATCTCATTAAAGTCTTCCATGTCTTTAATAAAACTCAAAGCTTTAAATAAAAATGTCATAATACTTTCTTGAATTCTTAATAAGCTCTAATCATGTAAGTACAGTGTATCTAAACAATTATTCTATGTACACCTTGAATGCACTCTTGGGAGTGTTTTATGTCTCTTATTTCTATGCCATAAATAAAATCCTTGACTGCCCTCAAAATCATCCTCTGGATCAAGCCAATGCTTTATACTGGGATTTAGTTCCCTGCAATCTGGAACATTATTTATTTTGTCTCCCTAGGCAAATAATGTAGAATTTTAATATACATGTGACCTGTTGGATACTCATAAAACAGACAAATTATATAAGAAAACCTTGGAACGTACTATAGGCCACAGAACACGAATGCCTACAGCATTACGGAAACAGAGTTCTTCTGATAGCACTTATGCACACTTGTCAATTTAATTACCTTAGGTATGAGGGTAAACGGAAAAAAATCTGAAGAAAATGCAAGCTTATCCTTTTTTGTATGATAGAAGTAGCAGATAAAGATAGCACTTAACACATCACCATAGATGCAATAATACATACATGCACAGCAAACTTACTTATGCGTAGCTTGACGCAAACATGTAAACGGCGCATCTGAAGCGTGCTTGCAGTGCACTATTTACCGGTTTAAAAAAAAGAAAATTAATTGTTGATAGACTTATAAATCGTTCTTCTTCCTAACGTGTATAGCAACGCTGACACCAGTGACTGCGTAACAAATATCGTTTGAGAGGGGGTAAAATACCCTTACATTACAATGCTTATAAGTTTAACACTACAAAATTAAAATTGACTCTGCGAACAGCGTTGAAACCAGGATAATTCACTAAATTTATCGATTTCAGCTATTAAAGTACTTTCTGAATATCCTATATGTACATGAAATATGTGCTGGTATCATACTACCATTATTTAACTTTATTGATTGTAGACTGTCTTTTTTTCAGTTCTTACTAACGGAAGACATATATTGATTTAACACTCTTAAATACTGTGTATACCACCTAGTGTATTCAACATTTAATCAAATGGAGAGATGCTTACTGTTACCTTATGTTACATGTGATTATCTTACATTTTAATAACTATGTGTTTTAAATCCATGTCTTGTAATAAATTCTTCTTTTTCTTACCTTTTAATAGAAGAATTAATCCGATACAGTAACTGCACTTTTTAACTATTTGTATACATTTAAATTGTATACGAATTTTTCTTATATAATTTTGCGTCAAGTTTGTGTATTGCACCGTCAATGAGTTACTATACATATTTATTTCCATGAGTCATCAAATGAAGACTATAACGGCACGTTAGTACAATACTGATCCAACTATAACACAATTTTCATTACAAAATTTTAAGACATCTTTCTCAAAATTAAGTTCATTTGTGACTGTAACATCCACTTTAACGCAATGGGCATCATCCAACATTAATATATAGTAATATATTCAAATTTAAGTAAAAGATGTTTTGCTACAGCATTAAAACCCGGAGAAGTATAAGAACTAGCACTTTGTAGTCGCACGGTAAATTTACACAAGGTTCATCAATAATAGAATTACAAATTTGAGAATTTTAAAGATGATCTTAGGACTTATTCTTCTAGGTTATTTCAAAAAAGTTTTATGAAATTTTACTTTGTATTTGGATATACATGCTTAAAAATATAGTTTTACAACATACGTCAAGCAACTTAACTTTGTTTCATTATAAAACTATGAAGAAACTATTATAAACAACTTGACTAATTTTTAACTCAATTGTAGTTAGAAAATTAAAAGTGAAATTTTTAGCATAAAAGCTCAATTTTTTTCTCGAATGCTGTCATTTCTTATAAACTGTTTCTGCAAAAAAAAAAATATTTTGAAAAAAAAAAAATTTATGGCAGAAGAGTTTTTTCTGTTACTTTTATACGTTAAACAACATGAGTCATTACAAAACTTGACATGCAATAGAGAATAATCGAGAAGTTATTTAATTAAGCTGCTTCTTGCCACATGCACAGGATAAACGACGTAATTTGGACATTACTTAAAGCGTGAAAAAATCTAATAACATTTTTGTTTTGATCTTTATTTTTTTACAAGAAAGTTGATTTTTTATACCCTCAATATGTTTAACAACTGAGTCACGTATACACTTCTCAATGTCACGAAGCACCAAACTATAAAAACTATCAATGTTTCTTAAAATTCAGACTTCCACATAACGTAATAGGTAACTAATTGTTTTTTTTAATTGATTATACAATAGACCTTTAATGTGTTAATTATAAGGTTAAGCTTACTTTAGATATAGTTCAAGAATACGTTATAATTAAAAGAAAGATAAGGGCACTCATAAAAATGTCAATTTGTTAAGAATTTGTGGTAAAAGTTGGTTAGTTATACAATTTTTCGTAAAGATATTCTTAGCAAAGAATACGAGATTTCATCAACTGAATCGTTATGGATGTTTAAGTACATAAAAAAAGTTATTATCTCTCCAGGTATTGACCATTAAAAAATGTATAAATATGTAGCTAGTGCAAGAACCTTTGATGTAATTTCTATTATAATAAAATTATGTCATTTTGGAATACTCGTTATTCTCTTACAAATATGTTATTAGATAGATTGTGTAGATTAGAAGTAGTTAAAATATGTGAATAATGGTGAAATAAAATCTGCTAAACATTGAACTGCTCATTATTAATTCCTCTGTTTAATTGCAATTTTTTGGGGCTTCACGAGCTAGTAAATATGTAGTATTGTAACTACCTTTTTAATAATTTCTCTTTAGTTATTTTAATAGAAAAATATATGAACAAGTGATTATAACTTACATGATATTATTTGTCTGATCCCAAGCAAGTATTTTCACGACTTCTAATTTGCCGTGAGTCAGTGGTATCACTTGTCGTTTCAAAATATTTACCCATACAATATGTCTGTAACATCCTGAGGGCCCATCTTTTACTGGAGCTGTAGCTATATAGCTACTTCCATTATTTGAAAATATTGGTGGCTCTGAAGGAGTGTCCACCCAACCATGGTCATCGCTTATAATTTTTTGTATTTCCTAAAAAAACAAGTATAGATATTTTAATGTCTTTTTTACTAAAGCTTATAACTCATAAGATTTTTCAAACCACTGACAACTTTTGAGCTGCATTACATGTATTACTAAGTTGTTAAATTTTTAAATACAATAAACAAGAAAAAAAAAATTTTAGATCGTTCCATATAAGTGTAGTAAAAAAAAGTAAAATAAACGATATTTAATGTGAGCTAAGTGCTCTTATAACCGAGCACTACCTATATAACTAAACAGTCATAAAATATTATCCTATGAAATTTTAAATAGCAAACTTGTAACAATAGGTACGTTCGTGATTCTTTCTAAGAGAAAAAAATGTATAGGCTGATAAAGTTATACTTGAAACCGTTAACTGTACTTTAAATATCGTTACCTAATACTCGAACTATTTGCTTGAGCTTGCTTAAACTGTCTGCCGAAAAAGATTCATAAGTACTTAGGGCTGTTATAAATTTTTATTACAATTTAATACAAAAAAAGATTACAAGCAATAGCCTGGTATGTTATAAAATCATTACAGAACAATAATGTTCAAGTGTTATTAACTGTCTCTCAAATACTGTAGATGCTTGTTTATAGGTACACAGTTGATGAAAAGTGTACCAATTGTTGAAACGCTACATTCAGTTATAAGGCCACTATGATCAGTTTTAATCCACCAGGTACTCTTAACCTATAACTTCTAATCTTTTAAGTAAACTTATTTTTATTTACAAATCTGAATAACGCTTTCTTATTTGTTTTTCTGCAATATTTAATGCACATTATTAAATAATAGAGAATATTTAGTTATTTTTCACACATAAATAATATCCTCTTGCATGCAAAAAAGCCCGTTTACCTTTAGGTACATTACAATTTGAATACGGGGGCACGTTCATTCTTATGCGTTTATGTATAAGTACATGAAAGGACGTGTAAGTAATCATTTATGCATTATTTACCTGAAAAGCAAGTCAGTAATTCAGGTAACAATCACTTCATTACGTCCTGTGTCATCATAAGATTTGAAAAAAACGTAAAAAATATAATTATCTTTTTATGTTTTGGGCTTCAAAGCTTCTTAAAATGTTTAAGTGTTTGGTGATGAGAGAATTAACCTTAACTTCTGCTTGGAGATAGACTGTATAATACCCTGAATACTTAGCTTGCATCTAAGAATTTAAAAGGTTTTCGTAAGTTGACGCGCAAGAGTTCTTAGGGAAAGACAGTTCAAACTTTTTTATTATTCTTTATTCTTCTTTTTGAGACAACCTTTAACGTCTTGATGCTACTGTGACTCGTGAAGAAGTGTTGTAGGCTTGCATCGCTGTTGAAAAGAAAAGCGCAACGTTTTTCTCGTTGCCAAGGAGATCCACGTCATTCATTTCCCAGCGCAACCGTTCGCGAGAATACCTCTCGCCCAATATCATGACGTACTTTCATTCCGAGCGGTCCTGGACAATCACCTTTTTCTCTAAGATTGCCGTGCTCACAATGCCTACGTAGCAACAATATCCTTGATACGCTAAAACTTTTATTAATTTATGCGCGCCCTTCCCAACAACGATACGAACCCACAACGCCTCACATATAATCGCTATTTCCCATCGGGAACATTCTCCCCCTCATGTGAAACTTCGGAGATTCGCACTTCTGCAAAACGAACCAACTTTCTAGTTGGTCTTACTAAAACACTATTAACTTACTTTAGCAACGCGAACGTCACCATCCAAACCCGGTATTGTTCCAACAATCACACCTTTCCTTCACTGATTCCGTTGTGAATTGTCATCTAAAATGAGAACCATATCACCTTCTTTGGTTGGATTATTACTGTTATGCCACTTTTTTCTCGGAATCAGTGATAGAAGGTATTCTTTCAACCACCTTCCCCAAAAACAGTCAGCACAATGCTGTGCTACTTGCCAGTGTTTACTTCAACAAAGCATTTTTTTTTACTTTTCAAATCTTATATCTCCTGACGATGTCCCTATGAAAAAATAGTTTGGCGTAAGAGCCTCGTCATCTTGTGGATCAAGTAATACATGCGTAAGTGGAAGTGAGTTTACACTGAGCTCACTCTTGGTCAACGAGGTTAACAAACGTTCATCTGACATAACTTGGTCTCTTAATACGGTTACAAAAGCAATTTTTACTGATTGAATTAAACACTCCCATGCACCATCCAAATGCGAAGCCCTAGGAGGATTAAATCTCCATTCTATTTTCTTTTGTGCTGCAAAATCGCTAATTTTTTTATCTTTAAATTCTTGTATAATAAATTTGAACTAATTGCTCATTCTTTTAAAATTCATACCATTATCGCAATAAATAATTAGTGGCTTGCGTCTTCTTGCTATAAATCGCTTTACGGCCATGATAGCTGAGTCTGTATTAAGGGAATGAGCAACTTCTATATGAACTGCTCGAGTAGTCATACACGTAAATAAAGCTCCATAGCGCTTTAGCCTTTTTTTTCTTCCCTTACCGTCATTGGGCCAAAATAATCGAGACCGCAATGACAAAAGGCTGGTAAACGATATCCTAAGCGCGCAGATGGTAGAGCAGCCATCTTAAGGTCGGCCAGTTTTGCTCGTAAAAGTTTGCACTTGATAAATTTCCTTACCATACTATGTACAGCTTTTCTAAGGCCTACTATAAAATATTTTTGCCTTAATTCATTGATAACGCTTTTGTGGCGAGCATGAAAAAATCTTTCGTGATATGATTTAATTATCAAGCGAGTAATGATATTTTTAGAGTCTAAAAATTTTGGACATGATTCGAATTCTTTTTCTGCAAAATTCACGAGTCATCCCCTTGCTCGTAAAATCTCATGATCATCAATACATGGATATAAATTCAATATCCAAGTTTCTTTGGGATCGGCTTCTTGTTCTTAAGTGCTTGAATTTCATCAAAAAATGTATTACATCGACTTAATTTGATATGTAACTCTTTTGCTTTAGAAATTATTTTTACAAAGATAAATCATATTTTTTGCATCTTAAATATAGCTTTATAAACTAGTCCTACAGTAATAAAAAGTTGTTGCCACGAAGAAAATCTAGATAAGTCTAAAAAAGGCTCTGTAATTTGAGTAGTAAATACAATATTTTTGTATTCTAATGCATCAAGTTCTATTTTTTTTAATTTTTACAGTTTAATCCTGGCAATTTTATTTTATTCTCTTGCAAAAACTTCGGACCCAAAGACCATATACTACCCTTAAATAACGCATCCAGCGCGTATCGCGTACCATCGTCAGCTGAATTATTTTTGGTAGGTACCCATCGCCATTTGGATGCATTAGTATTTTTGTTTATTTTACTTAGTCTATTTGCAATGAAAATTTTAAATTCTCGTAGCCCTTTTTTAATCCAATGAACCATGATTTCAGAGTCAGCTCAAAATACTCATTTTGAAACCCGGATATTATGTTCGTTCTCTATTATTTTTGCCAATCTTGTTGATAGTACCGCAGCTTGTAATTCGAGACGAGGTATTGTAACATTTTTTAACGGTATGGCGTGACTTTTTGCCATTATAATTAACGTGTGAAATTTATTATTTGACAAAGGAAATCTCCAATACGCGACAGTCGCGTAAGCTTTTGAGCTTGCATCGAAAAACATATGTAGTTCCGTTCCATTTTGTTGTAAATACAATAATTGATAACATCGATCAACGTGGCAGTACTTCAATTTTTCAAATTCACGTAACCAAAGCTTCCAATATGCGTAATCATTATCACGAATTCTCTTATCCCAACTAACTCCGCTCGATCATATTTCTTGCATAAGAATCTTTGGTTGTACGGTAAAGGGAGTTAAAAAGCCTAACGGATCGAAAATTGACATAATTATTTCCAAAAACTCGCGTTCAGTCCCAATAACCCTATCGCCACTCAAAAAACCAGGAGTAATTTTATCTGTATTAATTTTGAAGCTTAATTTGTCAGTTGAATTTAGCCAATGCAAACCTAAAATTTTTTGCACTTTATTTGGATTTTTTTCTACCGTAATTAGTTTTTTGTCTCGGCTAAATTGACCTTTTAAATTAATAAATCATCGCTACTCACCCACCCATGCATGGTCTAATCCGCGTGCACATTTGTTCTCCCTACTTTTAAAACTCGTGGTGATGCTTCCTCGATGGACTTGCAACTATCAAGATAGTCATCCATGTAATAGTTATCGATTAAACTATTAGCCGCATCTGGATATTTTAAAATAAAAAGACTCGCGTTCTTATTTTTAATGTGAAGAGCCGAACAAGGTGATAATTTTGCGCCAAATAACATGGAAGTCATAACGTATTCAACTGGCTTTGAAGACTTATCCTCCCCCCTCCAGAAAAAATGTTGACAATCTTGATCGTCTTTTCGAATTTTGATTTTTAAAAACATATCTTTAAGGTCCACTTTAAAGACGTATCTGTATTGTCTAAAACGCATCAAGTGACTTTAATGAATCAGGGCAGGCTAACAAAAAGTCATTAAAACTTACTTCAGCTGTTAAAGCGGCTGCATCAAAAACTAAACAGACTCTACCTGGTTTGCTTACGTGTTGTACACCGAAATGCGGTTAAAACCAAAGTTTCAAATTTTTTGAGCTTTCTTTAACTGGTTCAGCATAATTATTGTCTACTGTTCTATTCATATACTGTAATCTTTATCTCCTTTAAGTTTTCTCTCATTTATTATTATAAAGGCAGTTTTTTAAAAATGCACGCCCATCCACGAGTACCTTGTCAAATTAATGTTGTATGAATAGCCTGTATCTTAAAAGGTTTATATTACGTTAATTGCATTTTTTAAGTTTAAAGCAAAATCAATTAAACTTATTTTGTGAGGTTCAAATCGTAGAAAATCTTTTGTTAAAAGTGGCCTTTGGGGCTGGGCGACTTTGAACAAAGGGGTTGTAGTTAAACGCAACCGCTGTCACTTCAGGAGAGCCAAGTCGTCCCTTTGTGGACAAACGATGAAGGTGGTATCGCCC